CAACTAACTATTGATCATAACAGTAGGGTAACAAAATTCAACAGAAATCTCGACGCTGTCTGTCCCACAGACCTCATTCTCGGGTGCATTGCCTAAATGACGAGTAGTATGTAGCTGCGTCCGTTTTCTCTGCTGTTAAAAACTTTATTCTGCTCTGTTTTTAGCATATTTGGAAGACCGTTGCCCAGCAACTACTCACACCTTTAGAGGGAGAATCAGCGTTTAACACTATGAAGCTTTTCAATGAACAAAAGCCACTTTATGAGTAGTATATTACGTCTGTTAAAAGCAAATCCTCGTGTAGTACGCTGTAATCATTGTGGTGAATGAGGCTCATCTTGTCGTCTGTTAGTATCGAGGCTTCATTTTTTACTTAAAGAATGAAATTTTCAATGTTTCCACTATTTATCGTGCTATTTATGGAGTTAAAATCATTGCCAAGCCCGTGATACCGAACTCATATTCGTTCTTGAAGATGGTGACCTATCCTGTGAATGCCATCAAAGAGATAATCCAAAATTACAAATAATTCCTCGGCTCCATATAGAACAGCACATCGGTCTCTTACCGCATACTGGAGTGCAGTGATCGTACAGAACTCGCTGTCTCGTCTGATGCATAAAACTTTCACATGGTTTAACAATTCCTCGCGAAGTTGGAGTTAATGAGTGTGGGAAAAAACGACTTATGTTTCCACCGAAAACCAAACCAACTGGGCCTGTAGCCTGGACTACTGATAATGATCGTTCAGCTGTGACACCCTTTCGTTACGGGTTTGAGAGACGGGTGTCGAAAAAACACAACTTCGGCAGTTCCTGTTGTTAAGCATTGAGATGCTGAAGGATGGGTAAGGAAAAAGAATTTTGTTGGAAAACTCTTGGCTCTTCCATAAGATATTTGCATTTTTTTGGAATGCTCGCATAACTGGTTGTTTACGCCTGGTTCCGAAGCACTGTAAAACCAGCCTACGTAATCTAAAAATGCAAGCCTTCTTTCTTTAATCTCCATCATCAGCTTCGTCACCAAACGATACAATTTCCAAACCCGCAAAGGCGCCATCGCAGGCGAAGTTCCACTCCCCGCCTGTTCGCACATATGGGGTGACGCATCGTCACATGACGCAATCACACCACAGCTGATCGCTCACGCCGTCGTGGGCACTCAGCTGTGTCGGCACTGCCTACGTACGCAGTTGTCTGTCACGTGAATGCCTACCTGTTTGTTTTGAGTCAGATATACAGCTGCGCGTGTGTCTAACCCGATCACGGGAACGCATTGGCTTCCGACGTTTTTCCACATGAGGCGTCACGCCTACCATATTTAGTGCTGATGCGTCAACATCCGTATTTTGTAAGGGTTCATCGCAGTGCTGACATGTTGACTTCACATTTTTCAGTTAGGGAAGAAGCCGCTGGTTGGATAAGCGCTTCAACTGAGTCTTGTTCGCATCTCACGTCATGGTTGGTCTAGATCGGAGGGTCCGATCATTCTATTTCACAGATTCGCTCATCTTCCCATCTTACCGAACCCCCTTCTACTTCATGTCAATTTCCATTGAATCCCCTTTATTATCTGGTGACCTTAACGTGTAACCCCACTGCGCGATCCATACACGTTGCTCACTAATGGCGTTGATCACACCTGAATCTGAATTCCATAGGCATGCTGAAATGTGACGTCCTCGATAGTCCACCCTGTACAGCGCTTCAAATGAGTGAGCTGCACTAAGCTGTCTCATGTTCCAGTTTGTACGATATTTATTGTTATCTAGATGTACCACACTAACCATGAAGTTGCTGAAATCTCTTCAAAAGCACACGACCGGTTTCGCTTTTCTTCAGGCCCATCAGGTAGACGCAGTCCCCGAGTTTCCTTCCACCTAATTGTACAAAATTCGTGGCATCCATTCACTTGCACGCCGACTTAACTGAATCCCGACAAATCGTAGCACTGAATCTTCCGAACACAGTTTCTATGACGCTCCAGGTGCTCTTTTACAGCCGTCATCACTGTAGTAGCTGAAGACCCGCAGGCTGTGCCGTGTTGAGGTTCGATTGGGCGGTAGTCTTGAAGTGGACGCGAAACGCACGGACAACGGAGGGCGCCTGCTATAGATGCGTGCTATTTCCAGGGACAACGGACTTCGTTTGACCACGTGGTACCTGGAAACGAACTAACTCAGAACCCAAAAGGACCACAGTGCCATCAGTTAGTGGCACTGTCCATCACTATCTGGCGCTCTTTCTGGAACATCTCCGTAGTCTCTGACAATGCGCATA